TGAAAATCTTGCTATAAAATAAATATTGTATTATAATTTGTCTGAAGAATTTGATTGATTCACTTAGATGGATACACTGAGAAGGATATTAGGAAAAAAGGTAGGTTCTTGAAAAAATGGTTTTAGGCGAAACGTAAGCAGGGCTTGAAAGTTGTGTGTATTTAAGGGACAACAGCTAGTATATTTCTGTATTATTTTTGTAAATATCTAAATAATCTAGCTTTCCAATCGTTAACTTTCCATCAACATGAACATCTCTTTGTAAGTTTGTTGTATTGTAACATCGTCTGATACTAGTGTGACGTCAGTTGTCAGTTGTCAGCTATCAGGCTTCTTACAAGATCATTTTCATTGACCTTGTAGAGAAGATTCCGATGCGGATTTCTCTCTTTATACGAGGGGCTTTCAATAAATAATGTCATTGGGGCTCGGAAAGAAACAAAAAAAAAAAAAACGTTTTTCTATGACTAAGTCTTAATAATTTAGCTAAAATATTCTCTTTCCATTAAAACGCATATCTGTAACATTTTCACTCAATTTCTAATTGTTTTTCGAACACATGTTTGAGTATGACCCTTCATATACTGGAATATGGCAGATCCTATGATTTGCTGTACTTGTTTTTTTCTTTCTGATAGATGTTTTTCTAAGTTTAGGAAATGAAACAAGTCAAAGGTTGAAAGATCTGGCAAATTTTGTTGGTGTGACAAAACATTAACTTTCTGTTTACCCCCAAAACTCCTTTACTCTTCATGGCCTGTGGTTTTGGACGCAGTCAAGAAGACATTTAATGTAGTGAATTCCTCATTCTGTTTCCTTCCTCTCATACACCTTTCAATTTTTTTTGCAAAAAAATTGTTTTCTATACCTCTCCAGAAATTTGAACTTTCTCCCCGAATATGAATTTGAAGAACAAGACCGCTAATATTTAAGAAAATAGCCGTAGAAAACTGTGTTACGCTCCTGCAATTCTTTGCTCTTTTTAGGCCTTTGCAGTTTTGTCAAGTGCATGTTATTGTAAATTGTTTTGAGGGCTTAAAGCAAAATGGATTCAAGTTTCATTATCTGTAAGAATTTCATACAAACGTGGAAAAGTACAATTTTTGATTTTTTAAAATAATTGTTTGGATATTCCTACACGCTGTCGTTTTCACTCATTTTTCAAAATATAGGGTGACCTTTAAGCATGCAACTTTTTTACTATAAAATGTTTCTTTAAAACAGTATAAACTATCCCCAAAATGAATTTATCAATTTTGCTATATGTCTTAAAGTCAATAAAACATAATCAGTTATAATTTGTTGAAATTTCGCAAATTTACATCGGTTGTTGTACATGTAAGTCATTGTTGCCAAGGACGGTACCCATTTTTGATGCCCATTATATAATTTTTGTTTATTGAAATCTACATGTTCACCTGCCTATAAAACAGGCATTGATTGCTGCAAATTTCACATATTTTAGTTAATATATTTTTGGGATATTAACGAGTTTTACAGGTGCTTTAATGAAACGTTTAATTTCAGTGTCTCGAATAGCCCTTGTTTTCCAGCTTCCCACGATGAAATAATGTGATAAAAAGTGGTCACACAAACTGTTATCAATTCATTTAAAATTCAAAAATGAAAGAAAGTCAAGCTTTATGTGATATGACTACTATGTTGTATGCCATCGAGCTAATGACATTATTTATTGAACGTCCCTCGTATTTTTCTTTCGATCATTCTTTTTCATAGAAGTCACTTTTGTAGTGAGTGGAAACAAATGAAAATTTATCTTTTTTTGATGTAAGTTAGTAATTAATGTTCCATAAATATTCTTCTATTTAAAGAAATACATATACCTAAATCTATTTTACATATATTTAGATGGCCCAAGCCTAGTGACATTTTCTCCAGACATCAACACCATAGATAAAGTAGAAAACCAAACAGTGAGCCCCATTATGTGTTCAGCAGTCTGTATTCCAACCTGTACATATCGTTGGACAGGGATGAGTACAGTGAATTCAGCAAGACTAGACCTTGGAGAACTGAAACGAACAAAGAGGGGGAACTACACATGCACAGCTAGTAACGTGATCTCTTCGGAAATCCTCTTCAAGAAGCCTCATTGTGACTGTCAATTGTATGTTTTTAATGTTTTTGTAAATTCGCTAAAATAAGTTTTAATTTACAGTAATTATTACATGTACTTATTTTTTTTTGTAGATCCTCCAAGTATTGACGTGTTCCAAGCAAGTGGTAATCAGGTTTATGAAGAATCTTCACAGTTTAGCATTGTGTGTAAGGTTGACAGCTATCCACTTTCTAACATTTATATTGAGAACAAAGAAACTGGAAATATAATATCATCTAGTGGGCCGATAAAATCTCTCATATTCAATGAAGTATCTGCTAAGTGTTATCAAACTTCTAATTATACATGTAACAGCCGAAACTTCTATGGATCAACATCATCAATTAAACTAGGGATCCATATTCATTGTAAGTAACTCTAAATCTTGAAGATAATTTGTATTTATGTTAATCATTTCTTTTATTTAAAATCTAAGACAACCATTTATCTCAAGGCAGGCCAAGAGCTTTAGATGGAAAGTCAACTATCATAACTGGAATACAAAAAGGAAAAGGACTGAATATATCTACTCAATTCGTTGGATACCCTCTCCCAACGATATCTTGGAAATTTAAAACAAACATATCGGATATACTTACCATACTCTCTGGTGAATTCCAAACATTGTCAGAACCATTGAATGTGTCAAAAATACAGACAAGTCTTACTATAATGACCTTGCGTCCAGAGGAGTTCGGTTACTACATAGTTACAGCTAGCATTCCAGGAAATATATCTCAAAACTATACAGTCACCTATCATGTGATTTCAGAAAGTATGGTCAAATAAATGAAATTTTGCACTTTTCGTTTCTTTTTTAAATCTCCATTTGATTTGAAGTGAAATTACAATGTTGATCTATGCTTTTATTTTACTGATATCTGACATTTCGCGTTATGCCGCATTATTTTTCTTCCATGACCACTTTTCCAAACGTATTCTCTGACAAACCAATATTAATTTCTGAATTTAATTGAAAAATCTAAATACTTTTTAGGAAAACCAGACGCTCCAAGCAATATTTCACTTGACTGTTCAATTTCAAATGGAAGAGCATTCATAAAGTGGATTCCAGGTTTTAATGGTGGAGTAGATCAAACATTTGTTGTGTCTTACAGAACAAATACTGGGCTTCAGAAGAACACAGCTCAGATAAACTTACAGTCCTATGCAACTGTTACAGGATTAAGAGATCAAACGTTATACCTTTTTAAAGTCGTTGCGTCAAATAGAAATGGAGAAACATCGTCTGAGGAAGTACACTGTACAACGAAAGGTATATTACCTTTTTCACCAATATGTCGATTAAATGCTTGAAATAGTAAATAAATCAATGTTTCTTTCAGTCTTTTGTTACAGTATTTTTAACATTTTATTCTAAATAATACATTATTGTATACAAAATATAGTTTCTGTCTTAATTTTATTTGAATGGAGTTTAATTTTTTAATATCGCTAAATTTACATTGCAAATTCAAAATTTAATGTAAGAACTTAATTATTATACAGAATTTTAGAAACTAAGATCCAAACAAAAATCTGCTTAAAAGCGCAGGATTGAACCTCCTTGAATAATAATACTTATTGAAGCAAATATGCTTTAACTTATTTGCAATATAAAATGGGAATAACTTTTTTAGAACGTTTGCCCAATCCCATTTGTAAAGTTAATAAACAATAGATTATTTTAAAAAACATTAATGGATGAATATAGGCAATGTAATAACATTAGAATCAATGATATCTTAACATGTTTTATTAATGGATGAATATAGGCAATGTAATAACATTAGAATCAATGCATCCTAATTTCTTGAGCTAACGAAGCTGTTGTAAGACATTGGTTTAGATTAACAGTACACTTTTTTTTTTAGTTTTTCTTTCTATATTATATATAAATAATACTACTTATATGTAAAAAGTATTTACATGTATCATATCAATATTCTTTATCATGTATTAACCTAAAAACAAGCATTCAGAAAGGCGGATTTTATTTTTTTTCCATTCCTTAAAAAGACGGGCCTCGTAATTACTTTTAAAGAATGGAGAAATACTCGTACATTAACCCTTACATAATTAAATTTTAAGAAAAATCCAAATTATAAGAATCACAAGTATTCCCTGCAAACGATTTTTCCATTTTTTTTTTGTAATTCTTTTTACTTCCTATTTGACTTTAACCCTACCAAAATATTTCAAATTTCTGTCAAAATTGCGTTTTATATCCTAGAATCTACTGTCCCGAACATAAGTGGCACAATTGGTGGAATAGTTGGAAGCATTTTTCTGTTGATAGTTATTGCTCTATTCATATTTATCATACGAAAATACCAAATCAAGTGCCTAGGTATGTATCTTTTCATTTGCACACAATAATTTATCCGAATCTTAGCCAAACCTTATTATGTCGAACTTCATTGGAAAAAAAAATAATATAGGAGACCCGAGAAAAAAAGAGTGTACAATACAGTTAAAAGAAGTCTTTTGGATTTCCATCTTACATTGAAATTTCTATGATATTCAAAATATCAAAGTTTAAGAAACAAAAGTTATAAGTTATGTGATTATATGGTTTATATAAATGAATTTAATTCTATATTTTGATTGTTATGAATTTCAGAAAGAGTCCCGAACCTCGGGTATGCACATAACAAACTTTTTAATTATTTAACAAAATATATGTTGCATTGAGAAAAAAAGATATATTTGATTACTTCATCTGAAGAAATGTAAGTTCATTCATAATCATCATTTAACTAAATAAGATGATTCTTTTAACGACAAGGAAATATTTAAAGAAAAAGAAAAAAAGCGTTTGATTTATGATTAAGCTTTTGTGAATGAAATTCATCATGTACATATATCTACATGAAAATACGAATCAAAGCATATATAGATAAATGTACATAATCAAAGATACGTTAAAGCATTGAATTGTTTTGGTTGTTATAGATTTATAACAATTTGTCACTCAAAAATGAGCCGAGAAAAACGTCAGGTTGACTAATATATAAAAGAGCCTGTTTTAGATGCAGTTAAAGTATAACTCCACGTCAATACAGTTACATCCAAAATTTTAGGGGTGAAAATTATATACGGGATATAACTATGTACCAAAAAAGTTAGGACATCTTTTACTTTGCCAAATCAGTTATGTAACGGTTGAATGATTTTCATTCCATTACCGGAAGTTGATTTTTTAGCTCCATGAACAGAAATAAAAAATTAGCATTTTTAATAAAATTATTGACAATATTTTGGGTTTTCAAGGTTTTGTACCTGTTAATCATAAGCCTTGTACTAAAAGTCCGGAAAAATATCCTTTTTTCTCTTCGGGATGTGATGCCTGTATTTCCTCAAAGTGACTGAAAGCACGTATTTTCATTGCTAATGTTGGAAATTTTCAAAATAAAGAAAAGGGAGAGCTACAGATGCAAATATACACTACATAACGACTTTTCGGGCTCGTGTGTTTCAAAAGCATGAATGACAGTTCCTTGACCGGAAGTCCAAGGGTTACTACACTACGCCAAGTTAGAGAAAATTTGACCTCAGCATCTGAAAAACAGGAATTTAAAAAA